CCATCTCATCCATATCTAAATCATCCCAATATATAGAGTCTTTATTCTTGAAGCCATTATATTCGTCGATAAGGTTCTCTGCTTCATACTGGGTGTGAATTCGACAGGTTGAGGTTGTGTCCAAAGATTGAGAGATAGCCAAAGAAGTTTGGTGCCAATAAAGAAGCAATGGAAGTTAATCCAAAAACATTTGAAGCTCTGGTTGAGTAATGGGGTTAAAGACATGACCCCAAGTCATAATGTCACAAGCTCATTGAAAGTTCTTAAGAGAAACATCACCCCCAAGAACATTGAAGGGCAAGTGAGAAAAAGCTGCAAGTAGAAGCTGAGCTTGATATCGCTCAAATATAGTGGAGGGGCTGGAGGTTCGTAGGAAGGAAGAAACTGTCTCTCAAAAAGAGTAAGTCTTAGTTCTTCCATCTAGTAAGGGTTTTGAGAAAGATGAGGTGTAGGAGGATCCACCTCAAAGAAAGAAGGGAACTGAGGGTTATTTACACATTCAAGCCAGTCAAAAGAGCAAAAATTTTTCCTCTGGGCTAAGAATGACGGGTTGTACCCTTGTGTTTCCTCTGGACGACGAGTGGCTTGCACTATCTTCGTAGGCATGGAAGATGTGTACCATGCTATACGTAAGTTGTCTTCCAAACTGCGTTGGCGATTGATAGATACATAAGGGTAAACCACCGAGCTTCGAACAAAGGAAGGGAAAGACAAAGGATCGTCGAATTCGATGAATCGATGGTTAATTCGCTCTCTTAACTCAGATTCATCAGGTTCTGGCCAGCTTCCCTAGCTAGAAGCTTTAGATGAAGAAGAGGAAGCCATAGCCTCATCCCACGCAGAAGGTTTTGGGGTAGAAGAAGAGCTTCCAATATTCATTTTTGCAAAGTCTTGGACTAAAGAATTATAAACAATAGGTTCGTGATCCAAAGGTCGATGATTTGTAAAAGCTTCCATGACTTGAATAAATGGAGATGGATAGGTATGGCTAATAAATGCATGAAAATTCTTTCGAGGGCGGACACCATTAGCTAACAACTCTTTATATGCTTGATTTATGTCAAAGAAGGTTTGTTTGGCCATGCGAACTGTACCAGTCTTTTCGAATACTCAGATAGTGGGAAATGTTCAAGGTGTAGAAAAGAATTTAATGCAGTCGGTTGCAATTCTAAGAAGATGCAAAGCCCATACACATCCTGGGACGTGGGTAAAGTGCTTTGATCCACTAATATCACCAAATATTAGGTATATTAGTGCGGAGGGTAATGTTGGCTGTATAATTTGTATAAGCAAATCACAATTCGACACATGGCATGAAATGGGCAATTTGGGGAGGTAATGCAAAGTGCTAACCATAATCAGACACGTGTCAACCCATACTGGTAATAATGGGTCCACATAGCACTGGAATGATCAAGGGATATAAGGTGATAAGGTTTAAACAGTTACTCACAAGGTTTAAATTCAAAATCAGAAGGGAAGCCTATCTGCAAACATAGCGTAATGGGACTGACTATGAGAAGCATGTTCAGCGATCATGGAAGGACATTTCGACGGTTAGGAGCCCACTTCGACAGATATCATTGAGAAGTATAAATAACAGAGAAGGCCACAGAAAGGAGGATCCAGACTCAGATCAAAAAACTAGTTTTTTTTACTTTATTTTCCTTTTCAGTTTTTGCAGTTCTTTATATTTCTGTACTTCAAATTCCTGTATTGTACTTCATTCATAGGAGTATTTTCAAATAGCTTGTTACTGTAAACCTGTACGAGGCTGGATCAGGTCATTATAAGTTTTTCATTTTACTTAATGAAATTCTGTGATTTTCTTCACTTAATTGTTGTTTACTAAATTCTCCTAATCAAGCCACCAGTAAAAGTCCTCTTCATTGAGGTTGAAAGAATTAAAACACAATTGTCTGATAATTGGTTGGCAATTAATCTTTTGTAAGGACTGATTGATCCTTGCTGGCATGCTTAAAATTATAATATTAACCTTCGAAAGCCAAAAAAGCCAACAGTAACGATCACATATAAATAATAGAGTTGATTATGCTTACATAGTAATTTATTATTGAATGATACAAATAATATATGATGCATGTAATTTTTTTTTCCAAATTTTATAAGCAAAAAACCCTCCATAAATAAATAAAAATATTTTTAATTATTTAACGAATCATGCTAAAAATTAATTGGGCATTCATCAAAAATTAAATTATGTAAAAATAAATTAAAATTCTAACATATATTTTCTTTTATTCAACTCCTTGATAGTATTTTATATTATTTTAATGACAAACAATTTTATAGTACTAGTGCAAGTCCTCTAAGAAAACACGGAAGCAATTTTGGACCAAAATTCTCTCACAGTTATATTGACAACTTACAGTTCAAAATGATTTTAAAACTTTCAGTTTTAATAATTTTGTATTTACAATTTCATTTTTGATAAATTTTATATTTTTAGAATCCTCTCATTATGATCTATCAAACAAGATCCATAAACAATATGAAATTCTAAAAAAATAAAAATTTAAAATTAATGTGTCTATTGTTACGTTATAGTAAAATTTACTGAGAGAAATTTCAAATTTTAGTACTAAAAATTGAAAATTTAAGGACCAATTCAAAAAAATTAAGTTTTTAATTCCAAATTTAGGACTAGTACATTCAAATTAGGGACTCTAAAATGATAATAAAAAAAATGATTTAAAACATTGAAATAAAACACAATGAAATTCCACTGACTTTGCATTGTGAAATTTTACTGTCTAACATCTATGAAAATTCTATTTGGCGCTAAAAATTATCAATTGAGGATCAAATAAAAAATTAGGTCTTTAATTCCAAATATAAGACTAAAAAGTATAAAGTTTTAGCTCCAAAAGAAAGCCAATAAAACAGCACAAGGCTAGTGAAATTTTGGTAGACTTTGGTCAAGAAATTTCATTGACATTTAGTCTAAGTCAATAAAATTTCACTAACTATAGTAGTTTCATTAATTTTTACTCAGAAAAATTTCACTAAGTACGACAAATAGTAAAAAGAGAGTACATTGAGAAAAAACATACAAATCGAAAAACAACAATCAAATTTATGTTAACTAACTAAATAAATGAACAAATAAAATAGAGAATGAGAGACTTCATTGAAGACGAACAACATTGAACTAGTTAGATGTGTTAAAAAGAGAGAGAGAATTGGTGCATGATAGATCAATGAAGTTAATGATTTGTTTCGAGTGAATAGAGCACGTCCAACACTGAATGGTAGAGAAACTGAGAGATCAATGGCGGCAATGACGATTTTGAGTGTAAATAATGCAAACAATGGCGAGAATGGCAAATGCGATTGAGGTGGAGATAGTAAATATCATTGAGGTGACATCTATAAACACAATAGAGACAATCGGGAAGGAGAGACAATACAGAAAGAGAATAAGAGAAAAACAATAGAGAGAGAAATAATAAAATGATAGAGTTGTAAGATTTTTAAGATTTTGAGATTAGTTTCGATCATTTATATTAAATTTTATCTTTATGTTTGTGAGATTTGAAATCTCAAAGACTCATACTAGCCAGCAAATAATTGATGTACTCCAACTTTTATGAGATCTATCCCTAATTTCTCCATTCATATATTTTTATTCAATTTGTATACACTTTCTCATCACCTAGTAAAGTATAATTACTAATTTTCTTATTTAATTAACCAAAAGCATTTATTATTGTTGTAACCACACCAACAAACCCCCACCCAAAAAAAAAAAAAAAAAAAACAAAAAAAAAAAAGTGCTGTTTAGTGTAGAGATTGGAAAAAATGAATAATCATTTTAAAATTTTTATCCTCAAAATAAAATAAAAATAAAAATAAAAATATGTGACACCATAAAATGATTTTTTTTTTTTTTTTTGATTACACCACTAAATTACATCCTCTCGCAGTCCAAGGCAACACTCATGTCGAGATCATCAAAATGTCCTATAACACGCACTCTGCTTAAGTCAAAACTTACACAATAAGAGAGAATCAAACCACACCAAATACTATGTTGGTAGTAACTTGAGACGCTTCTAACCAATTGCGCGGGTTGCACCACTGAAATTCCTAAAACCTTTATTACTATTTGGGTGAATTACAAATACTCTCTGAGATTTGCTTAAAATATAAATTGTTCCTATAATTTGAAAAATTATAAATATCCCTTGTCAAAAAATTTTATTTAACAAAATTAATTAAAAATTTATAATTTATAATTGCTTTCCTATATAATAATAAAATTGCATAGGGTTCGTTTGGCATAAAGGTTTGGATTGGGGTTATTTTATCCACAAAAAGATAAAATGAATTTTTAATCCAATAAGACAAAATGTTACATACAAATTATAATCATTTCATTTTTTCTCTCACAAATTTTTTTTTTTAAAAAAAACTAAAATTTTATCCCAAACGAGACTTTTTAACTGCACGTTAAAATAGTCAAAAAATCAACCCACATCTCAAATGAAGGCATAAATTATTAATTAAAACATATTTCTAACATCATTAAAAATTATTAATTGGATTAATAATTTATTAATAAAAGAACAATTTACTATAAAATTAAAAATCTAAAAAATAAAATATAATTTTTTAAATTAAAAAAAAACAATTTATATTTTAATAAAACTTAATAAAACTTCAATAGATTTTAATAAAGAGAAAAGTTAAAAATCATAGAAATTTTGTCATGAAAATAATCATGAAAAATTTATAATTCTTAAATTATCTTGATTAATATATAGTATTTTATTCTAAATATAATTCAAGAATTATAAAATTTTCATAATTATTTTTATAAATTTTTTTTTATGATACTAACATTACCGTTTAATAAAACTTCAAGAGTTACCTTACTGTTTTGGTTGTTATGAGTATTCCAAATGAAACAAACGTGCCGCGTAGGAATTCACTGAGAAAACGACGTCGAGTCCTCTCTCTCTCTGTATAATGCAGAGAGAGAAAATATATAGACAGCAAGAAGAGTGTCTCTCTCTCTGTAGTAGCAGAGGAAGCTAGAAAGAGAGAGAGAGTGGGCGGGTGAGAGTTTTGTCTGTTACTGCTTCGGCGAGAACTCACTCTGTTTCTGAAACCTTTTCTACAGAAAAAAGAAAAAAAAAGAAAAAGAAAGAGATCTTCAGAGACTCCAAATCATATACGTTGCTTTATCCTGTTGCCAAATTTGTTTTCTTTTCTCTTTCTATCTGCTCTTATCACCAAATTGGTGTTTTGGGTTTTGGATTTGGATTTGGATTTGGATTGGTTGTTTCACTTAACCGACTCTGAGTCATCAAATCCCTGTATTTTCTCTTCATGGGTTGGTGAAATTTTTAGCTGGGTCTGGGTTTTTGGTGTGTGGTTGAGATTGATTGAGCAATTGAGTTGACCCCACTTGGGATATATCGTAATCTTCATCTGGGTTTAACCCTTTTGGGGGTATATGTGTTTTTAAGCTGTTCTGTCCTCAATCTTGTCCTTATCTTTCTGGGGTTTGTGTTGTGTCATACAAATACAATTGTGTGGGCTCGATTCTGGAATTTTAGTGAGAATTCAATTTGGTTCGTTTTCTTGAAGGATCTTGGTTTGAGTTTGTGGGTTGGAATCACAGAGGGAGAGAGAGAGAAGATAGAGAGTGGTAAAAAGGGTGGCATCGGTTGTTAGCTTTGCATGGCTACTGGATTGGAAATTGAAGATGGAAGTGAAAACAAAGGTAGCATGTGGGTTTTGGAGCAAAATCTTGATCAACCCATGGACGAAGAAGCAGGAAGACTTAAAAACATGTACAAAGAAAAAGTAAGATGCATGATTATTTGTTGATGTTGTTGATGAAGTGATTTAAAAGCTAATTGTTTATATATCTAACTTGAATTTGTTATTGAGCAGACCTTGATTTCTTCTATTGTGTTTGCATTGTACCACTGGTTTGGTTGTTTAAAGTCTTACTGAGTTTTTGTTTGGTCAATGATGATTTGAAAATTATTGTGCAACATGAAAATTTTTGGATTTGGAAAATTTTGGATTCAAATCTCAACAAATTACTCATATTCCTGTTTGCAAACCTGATGATAGTGTGAATTCTATTGAGACAGTTTCCAGATCTTTTTTTTTTTTTTAAGAGTAATTGTCAGACTAAAGGATACTGTAACTGATGGAGCTACATTGATGTTTTGTTCACGGATTTGCTTTTGAATCCTGCAGAAGTTCTCTTCATTATTGCTTCTGCGATTGGCATTTCAGAGTCTTGGAGTGGTCTATGGAGACTTAGGAACATCTCCCTTATATGTGTTCTACAATACTTTTCCTCATGGAGTTAGAGATCCAGAGGAGGTTATTGGAGCTCTTTCATTGATCATATACTCTCTTACTCTTGTACCGCTACTGAAGTATGTTTTCATAGTTTGTAGGGCGAATGACAATGGTCAAGGTAAGCTGATCCCGATTTATGAACTTTCTTTATAATACTTATTAACAAATATAACCAACTAATGTAAGGATTGCGAATTCAGTTATTTTCAGCGTTATAATTTACTTCAAGTTCAATGTGACTAGAAATTCTTCTTTGTTTCCTTCAAGGAAGTTGGTGGAAATTTTTGTTCCTCATTTCACCAGCCCGTGGAAATGGTATGTACAATGCCCGTGCTAAGTATCTCAATTGAGTAGTTAATAGTTTTAATAGATTAACATAAATAATAGAAAGAGAGCTAAATAAACTTGGATTGATCTAAATGCATTAACACTGAAAATCCACATTTCCACTTGCATGCAACTGTGTTGTGTGCACCCAAACCAACATGTTTGTGGGTGGGTAGGTGTGTTTATGTGTATGTCTGTGCGCACTTGCATTTATGCAAGTGGGCTTGCATTTTGTGTCTCTATGTGTGTGTTTGTGTGTTTGAGAGAGAGAGAGAGAGAGAGAGAGAGAGACATGTTTTAGTAAACGAGAATACGAGTAATCACTTTGCCTTAAACGAAGACCCAGAGCAAGACTCAAGTATGAATAAGGCAAAGACTCACTTTGCACTGGACAATATCACCTACCACTTTACACTCAAGGATATCAATCCCATTCATTGTTCTCTTCTCTCTAGAAATCACTGGATTAATCAGCATATACCAGCAACTGAGCTGAACACTTTGTTACACATAGGATTGTTTGTGTATTTGCACAGTTGCACTTATTGTATAGTTGTCGACGTGGTACGATGGCAAGAGTGCTATCCGGCCCCCAACCTGGTGACACGGGTTCGAGTCACATGAATCAGCCTCTCCACAAAAAAGTGGGGGAAGGCTGCCCACCTACTACCCCTCCCCAGCCCTGTTGTAACGCCTTGTGGACTGAGTATGACCTTTTTTACACTGCAATTTTCCTTTCCTTGGATATTCCACTCTCAGCTGCACAATTCAATGGTAATATAGCACCCACCCTTATTGAAAGTGATGATCAGTGGACTCATCTTTTTGAATATGCAGGTGGAACTTTTGCTCTTTATTCACTACTCTGTCGACATGCAAAAATCAAGACAATTCCTAACCAACACCGGACTGATGAGGAGCTGACAACATATAGTCGTAGTGCTTTCCATGAGCATTCATATGCAGCAAAAACCAAGAAATGGTTGGAGGAATATGCTTCCAGAAAGAATGTTCTTCTTCTACTTGTCCTTGTTGGCACTTGCATGGTGATTGGGGATGGAATTCTCACTCCAGCAATATCAGGTATAACTTCATTATTCTTGTCATTTTTTTGGTGAGAAATACAGCCTCCTTGCTTGAATCATTTGTAGCCTTTTTAGTTATCCTTCTGCTGATTTATCTACTTGCAGTACATATGTTATGTATATAATGTAATTATGAGTTGTAACAAAAATATGGGGAGATTGTTTACTTTTGGAGGTGATCATCCACGTATTCAATCTGTTGTGTGGAACTTCTTCCAGTTAATTATCTTTACTTTACGAGGCCATACACATCTAAATGATATAAAATATACATTTTAACAATAAATCCTTTCAAAATATATCACCTAAACATTATATCTAATCCCATTTGAATTAAAAAAAAACCACATATAATATAGGAAATGCAATCAAAGGAAAAGTTGACATAAATCTACAATACTTTTCAAGGGCTGCTTATGTTCAGTCTTTCGTGGCCAAATATTGGTAAAGATATGGAATTTAAGGGTTTGTATGGATGGAAGAAAGGAAAACTGTTTGAGATCATAGTTTGACAAATGAGGCAAAGATTTGAGGCTACCTGATGTGAGCACACAAGTTTGACTGGGACCATCACTGTTTAAATATCCTTGTTTGCTATAATAGGATCATATTTGGAAGATTCTCTCTTATATTTATTGTTTATTGTCTCTTCAATATTCTTATAATGGATGTCTTTCTCTCACTTTGAGTTTAATTGTGAGATGCTTTTTTCCATTATAAGATGCTCTACTAAATTATCTTTTACAGTTCTTTCAGCTGCTGGTGGAATCAAGGTAGACCATCCCAAGATGAGTAATGGTATTTTCTTACCTAAAACTGAACTACCTCTTGCATTTTCTTCTCTATAATTGGAACCTTTTCTATAGCATTTGATTTCACTTTATTTTTCATTGTGTTGTTTCTGAATTGATATATTGCAGACTCAAATAAATTTAATTTTTGGTGCAACAGACGTAGTTGTGGTGGTCGCTGTTGTCATTTTGGTTGGCTTGTTTAGCATGCAACACTATGGTACTGATAAAGTAGGTTGGCTCTTTGCGCCAATTGTGCTTCTTTGGTTTCTCTTAATTGGTGGAATTGGCATATTCAACATTTGGAAATATGATAGCAGTGTTCTGAAAGCTTTTTCACCAGTGTATATATATCGGTATTTAAGAAGGGGAGGGAGAGATGGCTGGACCTCCCTCGGGGGGATCATGCTTAGTATCACAGGTAAACTTTTATTTTGTCTTGTGGTCCATTTTCTCTTCAATAATGCTAGAAACACTAATTAGTATACCAACAAGCATACTAAGACACAAAACATGAATGTGGGATCCACCACTTGTTGTGAGACCCACTTACTATTGTGCCTAGTTGGTATGTTTGTTAGTATACTAGTTAGTGTTTCTAACGTTGTTGTTTTCTCTTAGAATCCATTCATGATTTAGTAAATCGCTTAGAAGCTAGTGGCTTATATTTTGATGATTAATCATTGACGTTTTCAGGGACGGAGGCACTTTTTGCTGACCTAGCCCATTTTCCAGTTTCAGCTGTACAGCTTGCTTTCACAGTAGTTGTGTTTCCTTGCCTTCTTTTAGCCTATTCTGGACAAGCTGCCTACCTAATAAAACACCAGGATCATGTGATTGATGCATTTTATCGTTCTATTCCAGGTTTGTTGTGACAATATAGTTTTTTGTTTAATTTTCTTGGCCTCTATTTTGAATGATACTTATCAAAAAAATTAAACAGCACTTAGAAGTATGTGTTAAAGAGCTAGGAGTTATTTTGGGTGCGACGGATGATTAATTTGCACTCCAAAAAAGATGCTGCACAATTCAATGGTAATATAGGTGATATATTGTTATTTAGCATATGTAAGTTTTACAGCTATCTAGTTAATTTTGATCAATTATAGGGTTGAAGTTAGAAATCTAGAGAAACTAAAAGAACGAATACTAAATTAGAAATCTGGAGACAGAGTTAAAAGGGTTTAAAATAAGGAGTAAAATGGTTCATATGGCATGTAACTCTAGTAAAAATAGAAGTAGAAATAGTGGAGTGAAAATCGAAAACCAGGAAATAACTAAGAATGAATAATTTCGTTATCTAGGTTTGATTATTAATAAGTATTACAAGTAGGTCTGCAATGAATTGTCGGTATCTAATTTTGGTACTTTCTTATCCTGCAGACAGAATATACTGGCCGGTTTTTATTGTTGCAACTTTAGCTGCTATTGTTGCAAGTCAAGCCACCATAACCGCTACCTTTTCAATAATCAAGCAGGCCCTTGCACTTGGCTGTTTTCCTAGAGTCAAGGTTGTGCACACATCGAAGAAATTCCTTGGGCAGATATATATTCCAGATATTAATTGGATTCTTATGATTCTTTGCATTGCTGTGACTGCGGGATTCAAAAATCAGAACCAAATTGGCAATGCATACGGTGAGTGCATCCTGGATTGCATCTAGTGAGATTTATTCAGTAACTTTGTTCCATCTTTTTCATTTTGAAGAGAATATGCATGCAGCGGGAATCTATATAATTGTTTGACTCTGTCAGCATAAGACACGTTTCTCATGGCTTAGTAATTCAAACCTCAACATAGAAATTAGATTTTTTTACTTATCCAAAATGTCTATGCTAAGATTCAAAATTGTCTTACTCTGTTATCTAATGATACGTAGTGTGATGCATTGTGAGCATGGGGGCCAACATACTTATTTTAGGTATAGAAAGAGGACTTAATTTTAGGCTTGATTTATGTAATTTTTCTTGTTTTAGGCTTAATTGGCAGTTTATGATATTTCCTTTAATTCTTTTTTGGGGTTGCCCATATGTTAAAAGCCTGATGCAGTGGATGCCAGACTTGGTTCTTTTGCTGTATTTTAGAATTATTTCTCTCTCTCTCTCTCTCTCTCACACACACACACACACACACGTGCACATCTACCCTTCTTGCTCTCCATCTCTTCTTCCCTTTACACTTCAGTCTTCCCTCTGCTCGGTTCCTTTCCTGCTTTTGAGTTTGAGGAAGCTTTGTGTTCCATTTTTCTTTTTTTTAATTTTAGGTGTTGAATTTAGAAGTCAGAAATTGTTCCATATTCTTGTTTAGACATATGATTCTTTCCTCGTGAACTCTTTTAATACACACACACACACACACACACACACAGATTTTATGTTCTTTGTATTTATGGAGGATATTCTAGTTTTGCAAATGCTTGAAATGGTTAAACAAGATCTCAAATTCTTTTTGTCTGTTATTCAAAGGATGTACATTGGAGCCCTATTTCCTTACTTTGTTTATTTAAGAACATATTTCATTCATGTCATATTTCATTCACACTAATAAAAAAAAAAATCTAGTTCAAATTCATTGGCTCACACATTTTTTCTTTCCCTCATGAAATTGGAAACCATACTAAGCTTATAACATTATATCTCATGTCACAACAGGTACAGCGGTTGTGATAGTTATGCTGGCAACCACATTCCTCATGACTTTAATCATGTTATTGGTATGGCATTGCCATTGGATTGTCGTTGTTATCTTCACTGCTTTATCTCTGGTAGTGGAGCTCACTTACTTCTCTGCTGTACTTTTCAAGATCAATCAAGGTGGGTGGGTCCCACTTGTGATTGCAGCGGGCTTTCTAGTTATCATGTGTGTCTGGCACTACGGTACAGTGAAACGCTACGAGTTTGAAATGCACAGTAAGGTCTCAATGGCATGGATTCTCGGACTGGGACCCAGTTTAGGACTGGTCCGTGTCCCTGGGATAGGGCTTGTGTTCACTGAGTTAGCAAGTGGGGTCCCTCGTATCTTTTCTCACTTCATCACAAACTTACCGGCCATCCATTCCGTTGTTGTCTTCGTGTGCGTGAAGTACCTTCCGGTGTATACCGTCCCGGAAGAGGAGAGATTTCTCGTAAAACGGATTGGACCCAAGAATTTTCACATGTTCCGCTGTGTTGCAAGGTACGGTTACAGAGACCTCCATAAGAAAGATGATGACTTTGAGAAAAAACTCTTTAACAACCTCTTCATGTTTGTCCGGCTTGAATCGATGATGGAAGGGTGTTCAGACTCTGATGAGTATAGCTTGTACGGCCAACAAACCGAGCGGTCAAAAGACTTTCTGTTGTCAAATAATGCCGACACCACAGCTTCGTGCAACATTGACCTCACGATTTCATCGGTGGACTCGATCGTGCAGGTAAAGTCTCCGATGCAGGCTAGTCAGACCATCACATCGTCAGGGCAGACAAGCAACCACTCAGAGGTTGACGAGTTGGAGTTCTTGACCAATTGCCGAGATGCCGGGGTGGTGCACATACTTGGGAACACGGTGATAAAAGCTAGTAGAGATTCTAGGATATATAAGAAAATTGCAGTTGATTATATATATGCTTTTCTTAGGAAGATTTGCAGGGAAAATAGTGTCATTTTCAATGTTCCTCATGAAAGTCTCTTGAACGTGGGGCAGATTTTCTATGTATGATTTTCTTAAGGGAAATTGAGATGAAATAAGAATAGAATCATGTCTTGAAGTTAGGGTTGAACTGATTTTCTTAAGGGAAATTGAGATGAAATAAGAATAGAATCATGTTTTGAAGTTAGGGTTGAACTGATACATTTTTTTTTAGTCAGTGCCCTTTACATGTATGTAAGTTTTGTTTGGTGGAGGCCCTTTTAGAATTGGCAGTAGAAAACTAAATGGAGACCTTGGCTTCGTTTGGGAAGTTGCTATTTTAGTAGGCTATTTTAGTTTTTAGTTATTTTAGTAGGCTAAAATTTTTGTTGGGAAGATGATTGGATTTTTTATGGTTGGATGTGATGTTTGTGAGAGAAAAAGTGAAATGATTATGGGTTTGATGTGATATTTTGTCTTATTAGCTATTTTAGTATATTTTGTCTTTTTGTGAATTTTAGCCTAAATTAAGTTATTTTTTTTCTTCCCAAGGATCGGAAATGAGTAAATTCATGTGTAAGATTAGATAATTGGGATATACAATGGGAAGAGAGAGAGAGAGAGAGTCCCTGTTTTTATTAATAAAAAAGAGATTAGAAACACTCCATGCTTTTATTTTTTTATGCGAAAATAATTTTCAAAATTCGAAGAAAAGGGTGTTTAAAGATTTTTTTATTTTTTTTTCAAAAAAGCCATTTTTTAGAAAGGGTTTATCAAACAAAATCAATATTCTAAGTTGATCGTTCTGGCCGATGGTTTCATCAGTTCTATTGAGTAGGACTACAAGCAAGCCAAACCGAATGGTATCGAACCCAGTCGAATGGTAACAATAAGTTGTTCATATTTAATTTGAATTGAGTCGAATGGTAACAATAAGTTGTTTATATTTAATTTGAAAACTTAATGAGGCCTTGAATGGAAAGTAATAGTTTTAACTTAAAAGTCAAAAAGTTATTAAAAACCAAAAAGCCTATAACCTATATCAAAAAATCAAAGATTTTATTTTCTCTCTATTTTTTACACATCTTTTCGTAAAAAATCAAAAAATCATTTCAAACATACAAGTTTTTTTTACCTCATATTTTAATCAAAAAACTAAAAAATTACTAAAATAACATATTTCCAAACAAGACATGAGTTTTAAAATGTGTTTAAATTTGACTTATTTATCTTTTGAGTCAAATCTCAAACGAAATTTTACCAAGCCTAACTCAAGTAGAGTTTTGGTGCGTATAAATTGAGCTTACATTGTTCAAGTTTGAAATTGTTTAAATATAATAAGGCAATTTGAAATGAATTTTTAACTGAACCAAAGATGAATCAAGCTGGACTATCTCGGAAATGATGATTGTTTTGTTATCATTATATGAGCTGTCATTGTTCTCTAAGGTCCTAATGTGGTCATAGCAAATGTTTCCAATTTTTTTAAAATGATTGAATTTTCATTTCCTCTTTCTCCCTCTCTCCCATCGGGAGTGGGTTGTTGGGGCTTGGCAGTACCTTCATTTCTACCTTTAAAATAAATAAAAAACAAACAAATCAAGTGGTAAGACTCACTCATAAATGCATGTGAAATTCACTCATGCATAAAAAATGTGATTGTATGTAGCATCTTTCTTACAGAAAAGGAAGGTCTCAAACACCTTTACTCACCTAATCTCTCTGTCCCAACAAATAAAATCAAACAAAAGAAAATGAAATAAAAATAGCAACATACATTTATTCCATTACCCAAAGAACCTTGCAAGCTGATGAATGCATCCAGAGCTGAAGGACACGAGTTCCAAAATGAATAATACTGCTAAACAAGCTTTACATACACCAAACACATGGACTCCCCCATCAAAATGGTTCAAGGTAGATGCAAAGGCATACAAAAAAATCAATTGAGCTTTTAGTGACACAGCAAGGATATACATTTTGGAACTGTTAAAAGGATTATGATCGCCAAATGGAGAAGACCGTGGCAGTTGTTGGTCAAGAGGTCAGGAATGACTGATGGGGGTGTCAGAAAGGATCAAAAGATGGTTGAACAGGCTGTTTTAGTTGAGGCAAAATACGCCGTCTGTAGGAGTTCATTATTCACTAGAATGATCTGTTGTTGGAGATCAGTGATTAGCAGTTCTAATGAAATGACCCCTACACTGATGACTCCCATATGATGGTGCATACAAAAAAATGACTGAGGCACTTATGTACTATACATTATTTTCATAACAATGCGATGTAAGGCTTCGCTTCAGATTCTAGGCTTGGCTTGTGGTTACCATAACTAAAATCACATCCAAACACAATTTAAAAATAATTTTTATTAATTTGCACTCTTACCTCTTATTTTCACTTCTTTTTTTTTTTTTTTAATGTTTGACCAATGAGAATGAACATAGAAAACACCCAACTTTCTTTAGCTCGGATGAGAAGGTTTAATATTCATCTTCAATCACAACAAATGGATCACCTTTTTCTTCTCTCCTTACTAAAAGTTCAGCCAAAACTGTCACTACCACATTCAGAACAAACCTCCCAATTTACATGACTCATTTTGAGAGAAAGAGAGAGCAAACAAAAGAAAGAAAGAGCTATGAATGCAACAAACCAAGACCCACACTTTCATTTTCCACAGATGCAAATAATAGCTTTACATGTAGTAACATTTCTTTGGGTTTTACACAAGACAATATATACTTTCTCGAATGATAATCTGAAACCAACAACATAGATCCTCAGTCTTAACGGAAGCCCATTCTCCCTACTCATATGTTACACAACTTCGCGGATTTAACGAAATTAAACAACTTCCCATTATAGAGCATAATAGTTTTTTAGAAAAAAAGGGTTCACTGGGGGGACATCCAACTGTACTACTTGGTTACCTGGTTTTGTGCCGGATGACCCTGTGGTTTTGTTTGACAAGCAGCAGACATCACACGTAAGCGTCCAGCAATTTCTGTGAACGAGGGGCGTGCAATGGGATCGGGGGCCCAACACTGCTCCATTAGCAATTTCCACTCAAGGTCACAGTAGTTTGGCACATGTGGCCTCAATGTGTTATTCACAATTCCTCCTGCAACCAAGGAAAGGAGAGAGGTAATCAAACTACATGAATCTGGCTTTACAATAGAAAGCGAAAGACGTGAATTTCCACCTCTACAATGTGAGATTACAGCCTCAAGCATTAAGATGAAATGTGTGCGTGTGCACGCGTGTTAGACAGAGAGAGAGAGAGATTATATACATTCTGTAAGCACACCATCATTATATCATACAGACAATAGTTGGCATTTCTCTCAGATTAAATCTATACTACTAGTATGAAAAGCATAAACAACCTAACTCTACACATTTCTTTTTCCAAAAAGATTAGTTTCATGTGTATCTAAGTGATGGACACAAATGCCCCTCAAGTGTTTGAGGCGTGTCCAGGTCTAAAAGAATTTTAAAAATTACACAAATAATAGGATATGTCCAACAAGTGTCCAATACGTGTCGGGAAGTGTCCAACAAGTGTTGTTATTTGACACATACACACCAACTTCTTAGAAGTGTAGAGGAACCAAGCTTAAGTGTCGCAAGGTGTAGAGAATAATGTAGAAAGTAGAGATTTAGAGAAACCATAACACAATGTTCAATTCATATAATTGCAAATTGGTTCACTTTTGTCTAAAATAAAAATTGGCCATCAGAAACCTTATATAACCTTGCAAAGAATCAACTCTCCTCATTGTCTTCAATATGTATAACAAAAGTAGATTAAAATATGTTGTTTTGAGGAGTTCAGGGTAGCAAATAGAACCAAATTGAGCATGGACAGGAGCTCAAGCACGTATTCCCTTCTAGTTAAGTAGACATACTGAGCAAGAGAGAAAACATGAGAGGAATGAGAGGGGAGATAATTTATGAACAAACCTATGATCGCTCCATAATGCATATTTGCATAAGGCTCCTCACCAGTGAGAATCTCCCATAGGACAATACCGAAGGAGAAGACGTCAACCTGCCACCACCAAAAAAGTAGGTCACAAATACTTTCAAGGAGCATCTTTAGTATATTTTTCCATTGTCTCTTTTTTTTTTTTGATAAATAATAAAATTTTATTGAAAAAGCATCAAGATAATGCAAAGAATACAAAAAGACCAAAAGAGGAAAACAAAACTCAACTAACCAATTATATCATCCAAAAAATCTAATAAAGTAAATAAATCCGGATCAACTATACACTCCAGCCAACTATACAAAGTAACTAAGAACTGATTTTCCATCCACGACACCGAATGATAAATTTCTTGAAAGTTCTCATGTTCCTTTCCAACCAAACCAGCCACAGCAAACAAAAAGGCACCAACGACGACACCCATCGCCAACGCCGCCCAACCCGAGTCCCCCTCCAACTCCATAGCATGTCCACAACCTACTGTGGCTGCACCCACATAATCCCAAAAAGAGAACAAGCCAGCTCCCAAAGTCGCGAAGCAACAGAACAATGAAGAAATAAATGATCAACCAACTCCGCATCAACACAACACATACAACGTCGATTCACTATCACATGCCCTCGACGAACCAAATTATCAATTGTAAGATTCCGACCTAAAGTAGCCATCCATAAAAAGAAAACCACCTTAGAAGGAACTCGAGGCACCCAAATAATCCTCCAAGGAAACGCACCTTCCACCTCCCCCACCAAACTCCAATAAAAGGACCAAACAAAAAACTGACCTTAGCCCCCACCACATTCCAAACTAGCGCATCTTCCTCCCTACCCAAGAGCCCCAACCCATACAGAAAACCGAACAACTCCCCTTTTTGTCTTTCTTTTAACAACTCTGAATCTTTCTTTTTATACTCTCATTCAATTTCTTCTATCATTTGAATAAATTGATTAACCAGCTAATGAAAATTTTTGCAAGGGCAAACTTGAGGAAATTTGGATGAGAAAATGACTGATAATAACCATCTGAGCTACCAAGTTTTTTAGTCATTAACAACTTAACATTGGGAAACTACATCATTTAAATCCATCTTCATTTAAATTCTTCTTTTGATTAAATTAAATGTTTATCAAAACAAAGTTCAACGACTAATGACTCAAGTTATGCATTCTATTAAGTCACCAATTTTCCCAAAAGCTTAAATTGTTAAGAAATGGGCCCAACAATGTATGTCACACTATCCAACACCCTCGCTCATGTGCAACCCTGTCTTGCACGTGGAGAGACAACCAGAAGGAGAAGTAAACAACCAAACAAATAAGAAGAAAGCAAATGGGGAACAAATACCAAATGTCAACAGAGAGACTTAAACCAAGACCTCTCTTAACCTAAGATCTGATACCAAGTTAAGTCACCAATTTTTCCAAAAGCTTAAGCTGTTAGGAAATTGGCCCAACAATGTATATTAAGCTATCCAACACATTCATATTCTTCTGGCAAGTTTTGAGAGAGATCAGCACGTACAAACAGACCTTCCTTTCATACCACTATACATAAGATATGATTTGTAAGACCTTACCTTCTCAGAAACCTTACTGCTGCTACCATTTAATAGCTCTGGAGCCATCCACGGAAGGGTTCCCCTAACACCTCCAGTAACCAATGTATTTCTTTTGATTTTTGACAATCCAAAATCACCCACCTAGAGAAAGAATAGATTAGATATTAATTTTCTTTGGAATCAGAAAGCATGAAAACATCTTGACCCTATTATGCCTCCAGAAAAGATAAAAACATATATTTAAAAGAATTGCAATACCACCAAGTGGTTACCTTGCAAATGGGTCGTAAAGGATCTTTCAAGTTCACCAGGAGGTTATCACATTTTAAATCAAAATGAACAATATTCTTTGAATGCAAATACTCCATTCCAAATGCTGCATCCATTGCAATTATGAGCCTCTTGCGACGATCAAGCTGCCTGTACATTTATGTAAACATATAAAGGACAAAGAAGATGAAGGAGAAAGTGCTTCGTGCAGTAAGGTAGTCTTTGGTTCACTACAATGATTTTGGACCGGAATGGAATGGTAATTCCTTGGCCATTCTCGTAATTACCGAACCAAATATGGGAATCAGTAGTCCAACAGAATGACCATTCCATCCTAACCTTCATTCCAGTGAACCAAACACTGCATAAGTACAACGTTTAAAGAATTAGACATTACCTTTCCTTGGAAACCAAAACATGTCTAAGAGAACCATTCACCATGTATTCTGCCACAGTGGCAAGTGTTCCTCCTGGTCCATCCTGCACAACGCCATAAAATGCCACCACATTGGGATGGTGAAGCTTTGAGAGAATATCAGCTTCACGCCAGAACTCCAATGTCTGCAAATATAAATAGCTAGTTATCTAATGTGAAATCAGAAGAATTTATAGCAAATCTCAATCCTCTTCAATGAGACAAGGCTCTAGAAACAAAAGAACTTGCAAGGAAACATCCAAAATGCTTGATCTCAACTATATGCGATGAGCAGCACTATCCTTCCCTGCATTATGGTTTGTAGTCTATCCATCTTGCAATAAAAATCCAAATGATTAAGTAGGCTTCACAAGTTCAACAGCAACCTAGCTGGTCTATATAGCTCTGTTTTATCAATCAGTAGACAGAACGAAAAATGGTTGATAAGATGAATCAAAGGAAACTCACCAGTCTCTCTTGCTCAGATGAACGCCCAGTAAAACAGCTTTTCTTTATTCGTTTAATGGCAACATCTGATCCCCTCCATTTTCCATGATAGACTGTCCCAAAAGTTCCAGAACCCAATTCCCTCAACTCTTCAAGATCCTCATTCTTGATTATCTGCTTCAGCAATCAGATTTGACAATGAACTACAAGTGACTAAAATCGATTTAGCAGCTTCAATATCAATTAAACCAGTCTCCACATGTCAAATACTTTTTCTCAATGTGCATTAACTTAGATGAGTTAGAACTTCTAACACAGAGGTTAAGATGCAAAATTGCCCTTCAAAGCGAAAAAACCAAGATAACGAGAAACAGAGTTGGCAATGTCCGGGAAAAATAATTCTATAAAATTGGCTGACCAACAATATATAGTTTTTCACGCACTTGTATGAGCACCCAAACCATTTAAGGACAAAATAAAGTTTCACTTTTAAACAGCATAGAGGTTATAAAATTTTCTGTCATTATGCCTAATATTCCTCTGACAAACTAACCAACATGTTGATGCATCTTTTTATTTATTTATTTATTTTTATTATTATTATTTTTTTTTGATGACCGGGTGTCCTGGCCAACTTACGCGCATCTCGACTAATCCTGAGACTCACGCAAAGTGCCCCCTCCATGTGGATTAAGCAAAGCCAAAGGGCGTGGCCCCAACAAGCGGATTGCTCCTAATGGAAGTTGAACCTAAACTTTAAAGGGAGCACACCCCTAGGCCTCAAGTTGCACCCACTAAGCCAACCCCTTAGGGTTAACATGTTGATGCATCTACTACTCACCACAAATACAAAACCAATAGATTCGGGCATTACATGCATTTTATTGAAATTTGAAATATAGAAAAGCACTGTGAGCATACATAATGGTAGCAGCAATATTACAAATAAAGGTGGTGACCAGAATAGTGGCAATGGCAGCTGCAAAGGAGGGTAAAAGTGATATTCAGGTAGTTGCATTTGCAGTAATAACAATGGAAGCATTGATGTGAATGCAGTGGAAGTAGGAGCCAAGATACACCAATAATAGTGGAGGCCAAGGTGATACTCAGTTTTTTAAAGTGCAATTTATTTATGATTGTTGTCCAAATCATTGGTAATTATTCTGTGATGGCAGTGGCAACAACAGAACGGCTTGTGACGATTGTGGTTGTGACAGTGCTGACCTGCCATCAATGGCGAAGGTGTTGTATATGTTACAGGTATTTTTAGGGAATGGGGATGGTGGTTGCATGTTCATTGGTGATAGTAGTGGTTTAACAATGAGTAATAAAAAAAAAATTTTAAAAAAAATTATGCTAGTTTGATAATGCAAAAGAACTTTTAATGTGCAAACCAAACATACATTTTCTATCCAAAAATTTTCTCGTTCTTTGTCCTTCCCAAAGAAAAATAATACTATCAAATACTCTCAAAATAGCTCCTTAATATATGAGGACTATTAACTATTAACTGGTGGTGATCAAAAGAAGAGCAAGGAAAACAAATTCAAATAAGCAACCAAATTTGAAAATTTCTTGGTTTCAATCCGTACCCACTTGGACCAATTGAAATATTTTATAATCAAGTTTCTAAGCTTAGTAAAGTCTTTTATTATGATTAGTAAGTGACATATTAATTTGGTCAGTTTTCCATATGATTTGTTCAATTTTATAGTACAGGTGTAATTCCATATGATTTCTCAGTTTTTCATGTAGGCTACAGGGGTCGCCCATGGTCATCATATGGGTCAAATTATGCAATTGGATTTTATTATGGATCTTATTTGGTCTTAGATAAGTTTAAAAAGTCAGAACTCTAGCTTCCTTTTATGGAATTCTAGTCCTAATTGGTGATGGAAGTTTTCAAAATCTACATAAAATCGTGTAATGCTTTTAATTCAATAAACATGATGTTTTAGAGAATGTTGTGAAGGTTTTGATACTCTTTTACAGATTGTGTGATACAATTCAAACCCTAATGGTGATGCTTGCGGAATCTAGGTGTGATGCCCAGACTTTTCCTTCTTGTCTTAGATTTTTGCACCTAATCTTCAACTTTAAGCTTTCTTTCGACCATAACAAACCCTATTCAGCAAATCCAATCCTCTCCTTCAAAAATACTTAAAGCCTAGCCCTTTTGAAACCCTAAAACACCAATATATTGTTCACGGGTTACTGTTCAAGGTCCCTCACCAAAATCCTTTTCTCTTTAGCCTAAACCTTTAATAACTAAACCCTAGAACAAACTGTGGCCATTCTTTCACTAAATCAAATTCTAACAGCCTAATAAACTTGAATTATATTTACAGGCATTGTATCATTAAGTATTAAAGATAGTTCTAAAATAACAAATTTGCATAACCTTTTTCACCCAGATGTCGAAAAGAAAAACTTATAGCGCTTGCTGTAGTGAATGCTATTATACCTCCAAGCTACCCTTTTTTTCCTCTTTTTGTTAAGTACATACCTGCAAGGTACTAAGATCAAGTTCTCCAGAAAGATCTACAAGGGGAGCATCCTGTGCCTCTACCTTCCCATCCTTCAAATAAGAAAATACATTAGAATAGTATCCTATGTATTATTGGATATAATGCTAATAAAAGTACCTCAATATCGGATGGAATCACCAGACCATCAAACTGTGTGCCTTCATTGTCATTAATTTGAGGACTGTTTTCTGGATGCAGATTCATGGTGCTAGGTCCAACAGCACCAGATGACTGAGGCTGAAAATTAGCCACATAATTGACATGGGAATTCATATGACCCAAGGCAACTCCTTCAGTTTTTAAAGGTGGAAAACCATAATCTATTGAATCTCCTTCATCGATCTTGGTAAGTGGGCTTGAGAAAACAATATGATCTTGATCCATAAGGGAAACATCTTTTCTAGTAGAATCACTTTGGACCAGCTTTTGGAAGAATGACCAACGCTTAGGATCATGGTTCTCCATGTTCAAGCTCAAGCCAGTTCCATCACCATGCAGCGGACTGATTCCAGCCAGGCGCTCAGAATTTCTAGCATTGGCAAAGGCATCAGACAAGAAATCAGGAGGGAATCGATCATTAATATCAATAAGGATATCCCCTTGCTCTGTAGTTCCAACATGTGCAGACTCTCCATGAGAAGGAGCTCTAATCTGGTTCTCCACCTGAGCTGGCTTCTCCACCTGAGCAAATGATCGTGCATCTCCCTCAGCATTATTCCCATTGTTCTTTTTAACAGTTATCTCACGCCAATGAGACTCTTGTGTCCTAGAAACGGAATCTTCCTTGCGTTTACCAGAAGGTCCTTGATTTACTGCTGGATTATTCACTGAAGAAGCTTCTTTGTTGATATCAGACTGATCTTTGTTATTATTCACAACTCGGGCCATTTCATGGCCATTCACAGGTGTAACTACTATGGGCTTTAACATAGAATTCGGAAACTTTGACTCAAAAGCCTCTTCAGAAATTTTGGAATTCATTTTGTCAACATTACCAGCAGCCTCATTATACTTGTGAGAATGTGTTGGTCCATCTTCCACAATTTGAGCATTCATATGCAGAGGCTTTACAGGTGAGACAGACTGTTCCGACTGGGAAGCTACGATCCTGTCACGCATCTTATCAACTGATTCTGCCATCTGCTGTGCCAGATCAGAACCTGCATGGCTTATAAAAACCTGAGGATCAAAAGAATCATCAGATTTAGACAACCGATTCAGTTCTGCCTGCTCCCTGGGAATTCTCTCCGAACGAAAAACCCGTTGAGGAAGCACTGGCTGTTCAAGATAGCTCAACTCAGCAGAATCGGCATTGAATTCACCATACCCGGGATCAAATGGTTTAGCAGATGAATTGAAGTGGTCATTTTCAATAAACTTATTTGAGTTCCCTTCATCTAAAGCTCCACATGGAATTGCATTCCGCACAGGGTCATCATGCTTCTTATGCTTTTCTGTAGGCAACAAAAATGTTCCTGTGTCTGCTGTAAATTTAGTATCCGAGGCTTCCCTAGGAATATAATTTGTAACAGAACTGTCATGCGGATGTGAAGAGACAGTGTAATCCTTTTCCAAATACAAATTTTTCCCATGTTCACTCATTTTCTGGGCTGAACCGTCTCTTTTCATTTTTGCCTCCTTCACAAGCCCTTCCTCTAAAGAGTGATTTTTTTCAAGTTCACTCATTGTCTGAACAATCCTATCTCTTTTCATTTTCTCCTCCACTGGCACTTCTGGATCCTGAGCATGAGAGCCATGGTATGTCTGCTGCTGAGCTGATCCTTCCTGTCCAGTCATATGCCCACGCAAAGGTGTCGAAACTAAATTTTCTACGACCTGTGCATATGTAGCAGGGCGAGAAACATAACCATATGGCAATGGAACAACAGATGAAGGAACAGTACTTTTGCCATCATGATGGAAGTTCTCTCTAGGGTGGAGAACAGGCAACGTATGCAATTGCCCTCCATTATCCACCATTTGACCATGGTAAGCCTGTGAGTTGGATTCTGAAGTATTAGAAGAACTCATTGCTACTGGCTGAGATGATACATTAGTTGATGAAGGCATATTAGTCGTCAAAGGTGCAGGTACAGCGCCAACTAATTCATCTGCAACTCGCTCTGTCTCCCTTTCAACATTCAAATGCAGTAATTCATCCAAATTGTTTCCTGAATTGCTTCCCATACCAATTGAGTTCTTTCTTGATCCTAGGTCCATGCCATTCACTGCAACTACGTATTGAAGTTCAGAATCACCCTCCACACTGCCCAGACCCAGCTGAGAATCATCAAAATCACTGCTAGAAAAGAGAAACATCCTGAGTTTCTGTGATCCTCCATCTTCAAGCAAACTACATTCCTCCATCATATTTTGTAGGTCCTCGTCACAAGAAACAGATACCAATGCATCAAGATCCTCACCAGGAAGCTGATATTTGATTACATGAACCTGATTGTAAATTGTCAATGTTTTCTGCATTAGCTCCTGCCAAGAAATGCCCTTGCTTATCCGAATGATACGTGTTTCACCTCCAACATATCTAAGCTTTCCGTCACTGGGACGGGGCATGATTTTGCCACCAAAACTGCAGAGAAACTTGATCTTTGTTGATGAGTTATCATAAACTTCTGAAGAGGCATAACCATGACCTCCCCGGCTGCTGTCATTTCTTAATGAGGTCTGAGGTACTGATAGCATGGACTCGTTGTACCCTTTGTCTTCATGTAGAGAAGAGCCCCTCCTTTCAGACTCTTGGACACGGCTTTTATCCATCGAGGAAATCATAGAGATATCTGATCCACTTTCGGAACCTGCATGACTGATTCCCAATATTCCCTTCAGATCTGTATAAATTATTCCACTGTTTGAATCCCCAGAAGGATTTGGAATGAAGTGATGCCTTGAATTCACCCTTTCCCGCATGAATTCAAGAGAAAATTCCTCACCAGTCTGAATAGAATAATTGTGTACAGGTCTAGCACCAACTGGTATATTGAAATCTGGAGGTCTCATATTAGTATTAATAGAACTTGAAGAATCCAGGAAAAAGTTTTGATTTGCAGAACCAAGTCCCTCATTTCTAGTTTCCACAGAACTGTATCGAACCTGCTCATAGGGTTTATGCTGCTCCATCATACCTCTTCCTGTATTTCTCTCCATTAGTCCAATTACACCAGTACAAATACCCCAGATGAAATGCCATAAATATCATAATGATGCATTATGAGCACAAACTTGGTGTCTGTGCTCATTCTAGTACATCACCAATCACAAACTTCGCTGGCTGAGATAAATATTTCCCAAATGACAGAATTGTAGTTCTCAACCAGGGATTCTGAAGAAATGCACTTTTCCTTATTTCTTAAATTAGTTACCCTAACAGAGAACTCCTCCAGCTTGAACAATAGTTTAGGCAATTGTTCTCCCCCGAAAAAAGACAGGAAACTGCAAAGCACAACACCAGGACAGAAGATGAAATTTCAGACTTCAGCAAATTTCACAGAAATCAAAATATAAATAAATGCAACAAGCTTTTAAAAAACAATAATAATAATAACGTACTGATATGACTGTAATTTACTTAAACCAAATTAACCAAACATTCACTACACCTGAAGAGGCAGGGGGCTATACAATTTTCAGTGTCACAATGGCCTTAACATTGTTTGATTATAGAATTTCAAGGAAAGAACTATGCAACACTAATATGATATCATTCCTGACAAAACTCCCATCATAAAATTATGATAAATTACTTCATGTAAGATTTACATGAGGATTATCAATTAAGTCATTAAATTTCTATTAGGAATCATTTCTAATTACAGAGCTATATTTCTTATTTTTAGATCTTTTCAGAAATGTAGGGATGAAATTTTGGGGCTTATGTCATTAGGGGCAGTTTATATCGTAAATCACTTGTTATTGGGGTTTTGTAAGGCCTATAATATATCCTCTTAGGGGGAAAGCAAATCAGGTTTAAGAGAATGAATAAAGGGTAAAATACACTGCCACCCCCATGTAACTCTGAAATAACACCGTACCCCCTCTTTTCTATGAAATCATACTGGCATCCCCTCTCAGTAACTGGCAGATCAAAGAACACGCCCTATTTATAACAAACATACACATAATCCCCCCTCCATTCTATATTGGTAGTCCATTTTTCATTGTCCCACGTTGTTGTCCACTTTGAGAGTTAACATACTTAATTTCTTAACCATCCTTAATTAACGCTTTTGAGAGTTAATGGATTGAATGATGTGAAAAGAAGAAGAAAAAATACAACAGTAGTGGATACCAATGTGTATATTTTACTGTGAATGCAATGAATTTTCTTTCTAGTAAGTCGAATTCTCTAAGATGGACTAAAAATAGGAGACATAAGAAGTATTTCATTATATCTATTCTATTATATAAAGCACACAACTCATAACATATTTTGAAGCTCCATCATGCAATTTCACATACCCAAATCACCTATATGCAACTGTCCCGATTTTTTATTTAAAATTTTGATTTCTTCAGCTTTTTTTTCCAACCGCTCATTTTTGCACACACATCACATGTGTGCATAGCCTTCTAGTATAAATATATGCATACATATATATAGAATTACCACACAACACTTACAAATAACTAAGTATATATACATTTACATGTAAAATATTTATTACAAAAGACTGAAGCGCCAATAACAGCAAAACAACGCCTTTAATCTACCAAAACCCTTAAATACCAACCATGAAAAGACCAAACAAGAACACCCATCAGAATCAAATCAAGTTAAGCCTCGAAAAACTAGCCCAAATCTTACAATACCCAAAATTCGAAACACAAACATATATGTTCCGATCATCAAATAAATAAAGTAATCAAATTTTCTTCAGAAAAAAACAATAGCTTTCAATTCGGATCAAAACAAAAAACAACTGAAGTGAAATTCACAGAAGTGAAAAAAAATTCAACAGTCGGTGACTCGAATTGATGAAAAAGAATACTGAAACAAATGGATTGAAAGCTATATGAATCTCAATCCGAATCAGTACCTGAAACAAACCCACCAAAGAAATACTCAGATACAAGAAGGGTTCAGCTCATGTCAGCAACAGCCATTATTGCCCCCAAAGTCACTCTCTCCCTCTCTCTCTCTCTCTCAAATGGATGTTCATCTCTCTCTCACTCTCTCCCTCTAAAATCACACATTTCTTAAATAGTAAACAGGGATGATGCTATTGCCAGGGAAGCTCTTGCTTTTGTCACGAAAAAGTACAACCATTCAAAAACGACCAGGTTGTAGATTTGGTCTGGCAATAATAACTCTTCACGTTGACATTTTTAACCCGACAAATTAGTTAAATGTACATTTTTAACTCTTCACAGTGACATTTTTCTCAAATTAGTTTATCGGAATCAAATAAATAAATAAAACAGTCTCTCTCTATCTAAAATAAAATTTATCTGTTAAATGTCGGTAATTTAGAATTGTGAAAAATGAGTGCTACTATTAATACCCTATAAATTATTTTGAACCTTTTAATTTTTAATTTTTTTTATTACAATAATAATTTCAAATAAAATTATTATAAATGACATAATTAATATTAGAACACCTCATCTCACAATTAAACTTACATATCCATTACATTATGAATTAAGATTTATGACAGCACCCACCTCCATCAACACTTATCATTCTTCCCCAAATCCCACCTTCAAAACCTACCCACCCTCAAAACCTTGAAACCCCTTTAGCTGCAATATTTCGGCAGTAATAGTGGCAACTATTGTTAGAAATGGTTGGAAAAATTCTGGGTAAAATTAAAATTTTTTTCTAAATTTGGTCTATTTTTTAGGTGAGACCCGTACGTCGATTTTCGCGGGTCAAAATGGTAACGTGTTCTATGCCGCGTTGTGATTCACATGGTATATTTGGCTGCTCAAAACCATTATCGAGTGAATGGGAAATTGAAACCAAAGTGTGCTCCATGAAAATGAAGTTTTAGTGGAAAATCCTTAAAGGATGAAAAATGGCTTGTCCCACATTGATTTTGTGGGAAGTTTTGAATGGGTTTATAAGGCTTGGAATTGGAACTTAGGGTGTGCTCTAAGGGATATCCAAGTTTTATAGAGAATGAGGTTATGGGCAAAATGGACTAGACCCATTAGACCCAAAAATCACCACACGCGCGTCATTGTCCGGTCGGGTGAGCTGGGCTTAGGCATGGTTGGGTTGGGTTGGGCTTGTTCGGCCCAATAACATTTGGATTTAATTTTTTTTTTGAAACAAAATCTGTCCAACTGTCCAGAATTGAAATTAATTTCGAAATTAAACTGTTCCGATTTTTTCCTACACCTAAACAGGACCCTACGGTTTTTTATCTGTTCAAATTTGAATCTAACGGGTTTGTATCTGTTTATTCAAACTGAACAGGTATCATACCTGTTCAAACAGGTTTTGCACCTGTTTAATTCAAACCCAACAGCCATAAATTCTCTTTTAAATAGACAAGTCTCTCATTTGTTTCTTTACTCCAATTTTCGTACTTCTCCTCTGCTAAAATTCTCTGCATTTTGCTGCACATATTTTCTGTAAAAAAGAGTGTAAACACTTAGTGTGTTCGTTGGGCAAACAATTTGTAGTGCTGCTATTATTTGCTGTTGATCATTTCATCCTGGGAGATAGACGTCCACATTCTGAAAGCACCAAGGAGAGAACGAATCTGTTTTAAGGACACAGTTTGATCAGAATTTTATTCAAGAAATTAATCAATTAAGTTGATTATTTATTTTATGTTTTGTGTATTTATTTAAATCAGATTTTGATTTTGTTTTTGTAACAAAATAAAAATCTGTTTTTATTTATTTTATTTTATTTTCCTGGTTTGATTTTTGTAATCAAACTTGTTCTCTCATTTTTTTTATTTCTTATATATTCTATTTGTTGTTAAGTATACAACAGAATTAATTTTCTAAATACAGTAAAGATTGTCCAACAACTATTTGACTACCTACACTTCTCCAGCAATGACAATAAATAGAAGTCTTTCTGGTAATCGCAACTCTATAAGATGAAAGGAGTACAACAATAAAAGTTTAGAGGAGGTTTATAGGTTTGATGTTGTTTTTAACCAGTGGATATTAGGCTTATAAGGGTAAGTTTTTTGAAAAAAATGACAAAAATAATAAAATATGTTCGTCATTTTTTCGAGACTAAACTCTTGAACATATAATCGAATTTCAAGAACTCATGCTTGAACATTGTTTATTTGTTCGGGAAGGCGTTCCCAAACAAATAATGTTCAGGAATGCAGATCCGAACATGAAAATTTCTTAGCACATTAAACGGTCAAAATTGTTAACACTTGTAGAAGTTTTCATTTTTGTAAGTTCGAGAATACAGACTTGAACATAGAAATTTCTTAACACATTGAATAGTCAAATTTTTTAACACTTGCATAAATTATCGGAAGTAATCCAAATCCATTACCAAGTTGAAAAGTTATTTCTTTATTACGTAGCTTTGATAATATTGCTACGTAATTCTCTGCTGAACTCATAATTTTATATTATCTACCAACAAAACTAACCAAACCAATTATTATATTTTTTTTTCCTGCAAGAGAAGAAATTACTACGAGGAAACTAAGAAATTATGTATATGTATATATATATAGAGAGAGAGAGAGAGATAACAAATCAACTGTGACAATGGTGGATGAGGCCGCAGAGACCGTAATCACATTGACTGTTCTTCTTCTTGGTGGGTTTTGTTAGGATTTTTTAGAAGGATTTTTTTTTTTAGGTGTACATTCAATGGGTGAAATGTTTTCACAAACATAATTTTAATATTTTTAAAAGAAAAAATAAATTTTGAAAATTTTAAAATTTATAAGTAAAGCCAAAAAAAAATAAAGGGTCTAAAATAATTCATACCACTCGTACAAAGAATGTTCCGGCAATAACAACTCTTTACATTGAATTTTTAACCCGACACAGTTCAAGTCTAAATCAAATTAGTTTATCAAAATCAAATAAATAAATAAAACAGTCTCTCTCTCTATCTAAAATAAAATTGTATCTGTTAAATGTCGGTAATTTAGAATTGTAAAAAATAAATAAAAATGGTGGTCAATGAAAATGCTAAACCCACTTTGCTGAGTTTTAACCAGAAGAAATGTCCAATCACAGAGGTACAACTTGGCAAAAGTGGGTTCCACAGGACATGGTTTGGAAATGTGATGTTAGGGGTTGGGTGAGCCTTTGCAAGTGTGTAAAAATGTCTAAATTGTTGAGAAATATGTTAGATTTACTGATTGTTGAGAAAAATGTCTAACTGGATTGAATTGAATGAATTGTTTCAATATTTTATAAATTTTAGTAGATAAGCATAAAGTGTGCTATCAATTTTTATTGATGTGTTTTCGTAAGTAGGTCAATTTTTTAGTTTTTTTTTTTTTTTTTTAAATGTATAAAAAAAGTAGAGAGGTGGTGTAATTTAAAAAAGATAAAAAGTTAAAAAAAATTGACTTTTAATTCAGTTGACAAAATAAGCCTTTAAATATAATAATGAATTTTTTAATCTATAACAATAAAATTCAATTACAAATTGAATCTTTTTTTTTTGTGTGTGTGATTGGGTTATTATTGGTTCCAAATATTTTAATTATGCTTGATTCCTATATTTTTTAAAAGTAAAAATTAGATTGATTTTTAATTTATCACGAAATTAAAGTTTATGAACAAACCTAGATTGTGTTAATTAGGCTTGCGTGTGTGCTATTTATAATGGACTAAATTTAATTTTCTTTTTCTTTTTGCTTTTCCCTCTGCATAATTTATATTTTTAAAATTACATTGTTACCCATTATCATCTCTTCTCAGCTAACCCCATTTAATGTGAGGAAAAAATCAGTATAATACCTTTATTAAGTAGTCAACTTTCATTTAAATAAGTGGGAGAAAACATTCGTTACTGTCGTCATACTTACAATTATGTCAGTTATTGTCCTTCATTTAAGACATCTCTTTATCTACCGATTATCATTGTTACTAGCTAAAATTCGACACCTTATCACCTCCACCAATTGAACCCATCAACCTTTCAACCAATCAATAATGGTGTTTTACAAAATAAATAAATAAATAAAATGCACTTAAATCCCAACATCCCCTGCAAATTAGCACTGTCACCTCCACTTATTATTACTACTACCACCTAGGCTATTGTTGGCACCCTGGTTTTTTACCATTTATGCTAAATCAGCATTGACACTCCTCTTCGTGCTCATTTCCATTCCAAATCATCGTTACTACCCTCACTTGTTTTGACATGGTTTTCGAAAAGAAGAGAATCATTGGATGTGCCATTGATGGATGTTCTAGTCCGCTCCTCCAACATTGCAACTCTTTTCATCGCATCACTTTCTCTAACATCATCATAGCTTAATACAAATTTAAAATAGTCATGTATTCCTTATTGATCGTAAATGTCCAATTGTAATGTTAGTCACCCGTATCTTAATATATTGTTATATTATTGAACTAACAACTTTGTGTAGGGGAGTTCTATGATCTCACTTTGTTTGGAGTTGATTAATTTACAGTAATCCAATCAAAATGACCGATGTTCTTAATGTATTTTATTTATCTAATTTTTTAATAAATAGTTACATTCAATTTATACGGATCTTGTAGTGATAAAGTCCATTCTTATCCAATCTATTCCCATCCATTGCTCATTTACTAGTTGCATTTACTTTAAAAAATTGGGCTAATTGAGCTTAATGGTGTTGTAATTATGTTAATCATTCAAAATTTAAATTTTATTGTAAATTCATCGATCTTCTTATATGAATAGAGGATCCCATATTTCTAATTTTTATACAAGATCCCAACGGAATACTATAACTTTGATCTCACGTTAAGTTACAAAAATATATATTGACATTGTCTTTAATTGTTGATTGGTGTTAGGGCTCGTTTGTTTTGGGTTAAGTAGATGGGAGGGGATTAAGATGGTGGAGGTGTTATTTAATGTTGTGTTTGTTTGTAGAGTTGTAGAAGGAATTAGGATGGTGGAGGCAATATAAATGGAGGTTGGGGAGGGGATTGAGATGGAGGTTGGGGAGATGGTATTAGAAAAATAGTGAAATGATTAGAAATTTTTTTATTTGTTATATATTGGAAATTTTTTTATAAATATTAATG